TTCAGTCACGATATAACCTCTATCATTCCTTAATTAAGTTATTTGGGTATTCTCCTTTTTTATTTGTTAAGTTTGCTGATAGTTTGTTGATTTTATTGATCATTTTGAAAAGCCATCTTCTGGTCTTATTGATGGTTTCAATTGGTTTTCTGTTTTCTATCTCATTGATTTCTGTTCTTGTTCTTATAATTTCCTTTCTTCTAAAGGCTGTTGGATTAAATTGATGTTCTTTTCTATTTGAAGAAAATAGCTCATTAGTTTAGCTCATTAATTTTGCTTCTTTCTTTATTTTTTTAATGTGTTTGCCTATTGCTATGAATTGTCCACTTAGGACTGCCTTAGCTGCATCCCAGAGGTTTTGGTACATTGTATTATCATTTGTTTAAAAAAAATTTTTTATTTCATTTTTTATTTCTTCTTTAACCTAGTCATGTTCTGTTTTTATTGTTAAGTGCTATCTAATCATAGATGACTCAGAATGACCCTCTGAGTGAGAAACCTGAACACTTGTATAACTTTAATCATTTCTCCAAGGTCATAGTGTTTCTGGAGACAAGCTATTTCAGAAGTGGATGCCACTCCTGCTTTCAAGCCTGTTGTTATTGGGGAGAAGGCTTGATTTCCCCCCTACAGTGTTTTAATCTGCTTGTTAATTTCTTGAAATTATGGGAAGTCTTTTTTCTTCTTCTTCTCCTCCTCCTCCTCCTCTTTTCTTTTTTATTTTGTAAATGGTCAAATTTATTAATGGCAAATTAAAATACAATACTTGGACCCCAGTTAAATAAAATTGCCAGATAAATATGGAATATTTTTTCTTGACATTTTTCTTGATAAATGTTAGGTCATTTCCACTTTGTCTGCAAAAGTTGGTGAATACTTGGACCCCAGTTAAATAAAATTGCCAGATAAATATGGAATATTTTTTCTTGACATTTTTCTTGATAAATGTTAGGTCATTTCCACTTTGTCTGCAAAAGTTGGTGATGGTTCTTGCCTCTATAATGTTACTAACTAGTTGCCAAATTAAAATGTTCAGTCTATGGTTTGACTCAATCTACTGTAAGTCCTTTCTGGGGAAACTTGCCTTTCTTAAAGTCCTTGAAGTTCTCTTTGTTCTGCCCTGCAGCCCTGCAGGAATCTTGCATTGATATTGTACTCTGACACTATCTCTATAGCTCTCCATCATGTATGAAGTGGCTGAATGGTGTGAGACCAACTGCTCTATTCTAGCACTTTCTCATGCACTTTTTTCTCCTTCAGCTTAGTGTTCTCCTCTCTTTCTGGTATGGTGGGAGACCATGGCTGCCAGGCAAGGCAGCTTGTATGCAGAGTCTCTCCTGTCAGCCCTCTGTCACAGAGATTTAAGAAAATTCTTTTCTCTGCTGGAAGTTTTGTATATTAAAGACGCTTGTCCTGTTTGGCCCCTGGGATGGCCTCATAGCCATGGAGGCAAGAACCCCCAAATTGAGGAACCTATAACCCCATGGATGACTCGGACCCATCTCTGCTCTTCAGTATTTTAAAGAAGTAATTTACAGTGGACTTGCCCAAAGCAATACATCTTCTGATTTCCTTACTGCTGGCCTCAAGTGTTTAGATTGTGAATCCAAGTAAGATGAAGTTGTTGATAGTTCCAAACTTTTCTCCATCTATTATGATGTTGCCTTTTGGTACAATGGTAAGAATTTTTGTTTTCTTGATGTTGACATGTAGTCCATCTTTTCCAGCAAGTTTTTCAAGTCCTTACTTTCAGTAAGCAAGATTGTGTCATCTGCATAATAGAGGTTGCTGATGCATCATCTTCTTCTGATCTTAATACCACATCCCTCTTCCTAGAGTTCACCTTCACAAATTCTTTGCTCACCATGGAGATTGAATATGTATGGAGAAAGGATGTAACCCTGATACAAGCCCATCTTTATATTAAACCATACAGTGCTTTCTTGTTCCATTCAGACAATAGCTTCTGGATTAGGTATATATTGAGTATAGATTTATTTGGGATTTTCCGTTTTTCTCAATGTTAGTCATATTTTCCTAGAATCCACACAGTCAAATGCCATTGTATAGTCCATAACACACAGACATCCTCATGTTATTATCTTCTTTCAGCCAGATTCCATTTGGCCTCAGTAGTGTCATTGTGCTTTTAAGCCTAGCAGTCCTAAGACCTCATGCTAAGCATCAGAACCAAAAGCCCAGCTGAGCCACTGCCTATGCCAAATATCTCCAGGTAGGATTCTCCCTGTCGTGACATCATCAGCCTTAGATGAGGTCAAAGAGGGTATCTTGCCTCATAGTATTTGCATGCATGATTGTCTTACATTTTGTTGGTAGAGGTAGAATAATTATCTGTAAGTTAGTTATATATGGGATTGATATTCAACATGCAAATTTGAGGGAATATACAGAATCACAAAGTACCAAAAAGAACTGACTGACACTGGAAAAATTTCAGATAATACCATATGAACAGGAGCCAATGGTAATAAAGGAGAAAGTAGAAACTGCATTGAAGGCTTGGCAAAAAATAAGGGCCCAGGAATCAATGGGGTACCAATTGATTTGTTGCAATTAACAGATGCAGCCTGGAGTGCTAACCAGTCTGTTTCAGGAAATTTGGAGGACAGCTATGTGGCCAATAGATTAGAAGAGGTCCAAATTTGTTCTCATCCCCCAGAAAGGTGATCCCACAGAATGTGGAAACTATTGTGCAATATCAATATAACATGCAAGCAAAATACTGCTGAAAATCACTAAAAATGGCTAGAACAGTACTTAGTATGGAACAGCTAAAAGTTCAAGAAGGGTTTAGAAGATGTCATGGAATCAGGGATATCATAGTTTATGTCAGATAGATCGTGGCTAAAAGTAAAGAAGAATGTCTGTTTATGCTTTATTGACTATGCAAAGGCATTTGGCTATGAGGATCATAATAAATTATGGTTAACATTGAGAAGAATGGGGATCTCAGAGTACTTAAAGCTACTCTTGTGAAACCTATACCTAGACCAGGAGGCTGTTGTGCATACAGAGCAAGGAATCACTACATGGTTTAAAATTAGGAAGGTAGTACATCAGGGTTGTATTCTCTTTCTATACCTATTCAATCTCTATGCTGAGAAAATTATTCTAGAAGTTGTCCTCTGTGAAGAGGAATGTGACATCAGGATTGAAAGAAGGCTCATCAACAATCTACATTATGCAAATGACACACTCTTGCTTTCAGAAAGTGAGAAGGACTTGAAGCAATTATTGCAGAGGATCAAAAAATATAGCCTTCAATATAGATTGCATCTCAATTTCATAAAACCAAAGAGTTTTACCACTGGGCCAATACTCAGCATCATGATAGAGAAAAGATAGAAACTGGCAACAGCTTCATCTTACTTGGATCCACAATTAAGACCCTTGGTACAGCAGTCAGGAAATCAGGAGCCATATTGCACTAGGAAAGTCTGCAGTTAAGGACCTCTTCAAATTATTAAGGAGTAATGATGCCAGTTTGAGGACTACAGTACATCTGATTTAGGCCATAGTCTTTTCAATCACTTGCTATGAATCTGAGAGCTGGACAATGAATAAGGATGATACAGGAAGAATCGATGCCTCTGAGCTGTGGGGTTGGAGAGGAGTGCTGAACATCCCATGGACTGCCAGAGGAACAACCAAGTATGTCCTGGTAAGGGTGAGGCCAGAGTTCTCTTTGGAGGCAAAGATGCTCTCACTTTGCCCCATACTTTGGTCATGTTGCCAGAAATGGCTATTTCTTGGAGAGGGACAGGATGCTCAGAAAGCTGGAGGGTTATCAAAGGAGAGGAAGACTCTCAAACAGGTGGATTGATGCAGTGACTACCACAATGGATTCTAATGTGTCAGGAAGTGTGAGGATGGCACAAGATAGGGCAGCATTCAGATTTGTTGTTCATAGGGTTGTTGTGGGTCACACTTGACTCAACAGTACCTAACAACAAAAACAGAACAACAACAACAACAATTACTTTATAAGTGGACGTGTATATACTTGTTTATTAATTGTTTGCTGTTATTAGTATAGCACTTTTTTGTCAGTCTGCTTTACTGCTATAACTTTTGGTTTTCTGTGGTGCTAGAAGCTATGCCACCAGTCTTCAAATGGCAAAAAGGCCCACCCATCATGGACAGGCTGCAACAAAACTTCTAGAGTAAGACAGACTAGGAAGCAGGGCTTCGAAAATAATAGACCTTTGAAATTCCTGTGAACAAGAGAAGAGCCTGTGTAACTACAGAATTAGAGGTAAAGTCCAGATGGAAAGTCACTCCAATATGAAGAGAAAGAGCTGTAAACAACCACGAATAATTGGAACACAGAATATATGAATTACGGATGGAGGAAATAATTGCAGCCTAGAAACCACCAAATCATGGACAGATATATAGAGAAAGGTAGATAGGTGATAGAAAGAGAAGTAAGGAAGAGTGGAAATTTCCTGTAAAAATGTTCTATACTGTAGGAAATTAAAACTGAGAGAAAACTATAGAGCTGCTATTACTGTGATAATATTACTGATATAACAAATAGCAAGTCAACAAACTTCAGGCAGTTTAGAGTACATCAGAGTCAGAGGGAGTTCCTTAAATTATGTTCAGTAAAGGACAGACAAAGCTAGACTAGGAGAAATATGGTCAACTGGGACTTCACTTAAAGTGAAATTTCAGCAATTTCAGGGGGAGTAAATAAGAAGGCTCTACAAAAGGCAATAACAAAATCCTGCTTTTTAATGAAAAATAAGCAAAGAATTGACTGTTCTATTTCAGAATGATATTGGATGTGTACAATGATTTAGGAAAGGAAAATAATACAAGAAAAATTAAAAGAAAGTCAATGAAAAAGGAAATTAAAAAAATAAAATAGAAGTAAGGCATAAGATCACATTATATTAAAATGTCCATACTAGGTCATTTCCTATATGATGTACCGGAGTTTATATAAATTCCAGGTAACACATATGGAACAGTACCTTTCTTTTAGCTTTTAGTTGCTCTTGGTACTTGTCACAGGTATCTCCTGGGATCTCTCCTCCCCAAAGAGTAATTCCAACGATGGTATATGTGATACCCATGATGAGCAATGGGAAAAAGTACACCAGTATAATAACAATAATGTGATAACTGTAAGAAAGAGGAAAGAGATAAAGACAGTTGCTGAATAATATCATAAGATGAACTATGTTAAATTTTGAATTCATTCAGTTTTAAGACCTCATTAAAAATGCTGAAGTATTGTCTTTATGCCCTCATTTTAGAAATATGTCAAAATACCTGCTACCTACAATCACTGCCAAATGCTTCAACTGATCTCTGCCTAGTTTTACATTTTCTGTGGAAGCTATCACTACTCTTAAATACACTTAAACTACTCATGTCTCTTCTACTTAGGGATCCAAAGTGAGGGCTTCTTCTTCATTTGTTAATTATTTTTTAAAATTTGCTAATTATTGAGCTAAACAAAAAATGGTCAAGAAAAATGGATGGAATAAAATAAACTAAGGAACTGACATAATTTCTTCTATGCAGGCCTCATTTACATATCTTAGCAACATCATAAATATTTGAAGTACATTGTTTTTCTCCCAAAAGAGGGGGGCGGGTTGTTAAGAAATACATACTGAGTTATATCTATTCCATGAAATTTAGACAGTAATTAAAAAAAACAAATTAAAAAACCAGGTGAAAATATTTACTTGGCATTTTTCCAAAGGCACAGTGCAATTACACTATATTAAATAGTCATCACACTGTTAAGTTTGTAAGTAACACACTGACATATTAGTCAAACCAAAGATATGATATTGCCTCTTATCAAATGAAAATATGATATTTCATAACTTTCAATTGAAATCATAATGATACAATTGGGATCAAAGAGGTAAATCACAATATCCAACCTGAAATCTTACTAACTTTTAGGACTTCTGATGTCTTAAAGAAAATTTTAAAGTAATTAGAGTTTGTTACAATAGTCCTTTCCAAATCCTGTGTATCAAATATAAAATCCCCTATCCTCTCATTTCCTGGCAGTTTACACATTTATATTGATTTAAAATAAGTGAAAAAGGTAAAGTAAACCTGATAATAATATTATCATATGAGTAAAAAAATTATCAAAAAGAATAGATACATACACAATATATTCATTTCTACTAGCTTTTCCAAGGGAGGAGGATGAGCAGTCTCCTTCCTTATAATTTACTTCCTCTAACTAAAATCCCACTGGAGAGTCACAATGAGTCAGTTCTGATTTGAAGGCACACAATCAAACCCACCTAATTTTCCTTCAGCAACTGCTTCCTAACAATCTTCTTCCTTCTAAAATCTGGAGATCCAGGTTAGATTAAATGGTTACTTTAAATGTTCAATCCTACAATCATTTGTTATTTTAAAAGTAGAAGGCCACCAAAATAAGAACGTAAGAATTTTCTTGAAAAAACTATCAATGATCATAATAGACATAAGTTGCAACCAATTACAATATTATTTATTTGCCTTTTCATTTCTTAAGATGAGTCCAAAATAAAAAAAAATCATTATTTCTGATGTTGTTTTTCTATTTATTTTCAGTGTAGCATCCAAATTTCTCTAATGCTAAAATCAATCAACAACTGAATGAAGCCAAACACATTCAAGAACCTACAAGATTTTCCCTTAATTTTGCCATCAGGTTTATTGAAAAATCAAATCAATATTTTTAGACTTAAATTCCTTTTTTCTCACTTATTTCTCAATCAATAGCAATTCTGCTTTCCTTTGTGCATGGCTCTTATAACCAGTGATCACCTCTCTCTGCTGTTGGGTCAGAAGTGACTCATAGCTGCCTATCTTCCTGTCACAGAGCCTCTGGTGGATTCAAACTGCTAGAAACTGCATCTTTGGTCTAGTAGCTCAGCTTCATACTCACTAGGATACCAGAGCTGTCTATATCCAGTGATCATTTACATACCTACTTCAGTGATTGCTTAAAACCTTGATCAGATACTACCTGCAACAAACTCTCCAGAGCTACTCATAAGTCATATTTTTTCTGACAGAAAATGTCTGTAACTTATACAAGTGATCATACCATATTTTATGTGTATCTCTTTTCCCAAACAATATCATAGTTACATAAGTATAGCTCCCCATGTAAAGGTTTGATAAACTGAATTAAGAGAAAAGTAGAGCATTGGCTTACGTGAAATGTTGCTTGGGACCTTCTGGCCATTGCACATAGCAAAGAGTTCGTTCCGGCATGACTTTTGTTTTAGAGTAAAGACATTGAGGGAAGGCAAGCAGAAATGCTAGAACCCAAATACTTCCAATGACAATTTTAGTAGCTGTGGCAGATAGTCTTGGCTTCAAGGGATCAATAATGGCCATGTACCTGTATAAAAACAAACACAACCTTTTCTAAGGCCCAGATAGAGTGTCAAAGAACTTTCAGTAGTCAACATTGGCTCTTCATAAAAAAAGTTGATAAATATTTTGCTTTAAAACATAAATAAGAACATCAACACCTTAAAAATGAAGTGAGGATCAATAGAATATAAATGAAAAGCTTTGAATATTTCACACACACCACAATTTAAGAATGTATGTCAAATAGAATTTGAAAGACACATGTTTTTCTTCTTCTTGTTGTTGTTGTGTGCTGTTGAGTCAGAACCGACCCATAGCAGACCCTCTAGCAGGTTTGAAGGAGTTTCATTGCATTCGAAGAGATTGTCCATCCTCCTCCCACATGCCTTTGTGATTGCAGTGCAGTTTCTTACCAGCTCAAGTACATTAATTTCTTTTCTTTAGGTTTAATTTGGTACAGAAAGTTTGGACAAATAATGTAAACACTATCTTATTATCAAGGACTTTCATAAATCATCATGAAAAATATCATCAATATATGTATTTAAAATAATAAATAACAGGTTTAGGATTAAAAAAAATAATGTTTAAATTAAGGCTGATTGTTAATCTCATTCCGCATGTTTCCAAATTGAACTAATAATGTTTTGTGAAATTATTTTCATGGTGCTAATGTAATTGTATAAAACAGACAAGTGAAAAGATACTTTATGCTCTTAAAGCACACATTAAAAAATGACTTTCACAGTACAACTTTTTGGAAATTTGAGGCGTCTCAGAATATAGTAATGACAATTAAGTTTGCCTTATTTTGTAAAGACAATATGAAACCATGGCACCCATGGTACCAGCAGTCAAGAAATCAAAAGACTTGTTGAACTAGGAAAATGTACTGTGAATTACTTCTTCAAAGTGCTAAAGAACAAGACTTCAGTTTAAAGAATAAGGTATGCCTGATCCAAGTCATGATTTTTCAATCACTTCCTAGGAATCTAAAAGTTGGACAATGAATAAGGATGACAGAGAATCATTGTCTTTGAATTATTACATTGGAGAAGAGTACTTAAATTTCCATCCATGGACTGTCAAAAGAACACACTAATCTCTCTTGAAGGTAGTGCAACCAGAGTGTTCCTTAGAGGTAAGAAGAGTGAAATTTCTTCACATGTACTTTGGGTATGTTGTCAGGAGGGGCCGGGCCTTGGAACACTGTTAGGAAAGGTGGAGGGTCAGAGGAAGAGAGATTCTCAGTGATATGGATTTCCACGGTTTCTACTAGAGTCTATGAGGATTGCACAGGGTAGGCCAACGTTCAGAACTGTTGTTCATAAGATCCTCCTGAGAATTTACAGTCTGTGAACACCTAGTGAAGCACTTCCTCTGAGTTAGCTCCAACTCAATGGTACAGACTAACATTAGTTTATTCTTTCACAAAATAAGTCATCTATATCATTGTATTAGATTTTCTTAAATTTTGGCCTCTTTTTAGTATAATTCCTACATAAGTAAGAGCTAAGTTTGGATTATTCTTTATCCTAGCTAGCATATCACATAAATAGTTTTCAAAGTCCATTTTTTTCATCTTTTTATAGAAGTTGAAGTTCTGAGAAGCATCCATTAAAACTCATAATTTTAGTGCCACCTCCTACCAATTTTTCTACCTACTATATGTTAGTCTGGGCAAAGAGGGCCGAAGAGAAGAATGAAGAATTCAGAACTCAAATGTTGATGGCCTTGCCTGCTTCAGATAAGAAGGCAAAAGGCCTTGCCTGCCTGGCTAAGCTAGCAGGTGGTCCGTAAATCAGAATAGAATGTACCTCCCTAAAGACTCTGTTTATAAAAATCCTCCCCAGTAAGTTCACAGTGTGATTTCCCATTCTGCCTCTCTGGGATGAGGAAGTCACCGGGGAGCTCCCCTTCCACCCCCACCCCGCTTTAATAAAGCTGCATTAAGCTTTCTCTCGTTCTCTCTGATTTATTCTTTAAGTCCACTAACCTAACCTAACCTAACATATGGTGCTGAGAAACCCGGGAGATGAGTTAAGGTGCTGCGCCCCTGCCTTAGGGCTAGTGCTGGTGCCCCTTACTCTCTTCCGAACCAGTCTGTGCAGTGTCCAGATGCCTGAACGGTAAAGCAAAATTCTGCTGCTCTTCCTCTCCCCTGTGCTCTGGCCACATCTCTGCCCTTTTTGTCTTTCTGATCTCTGTGTTCTCCCTCTCCTTCTCCTGGAGGCTCCTAAAGTTAGACCCAATTTATTTCCAGGCATATTAAGCCTTTACTCCTCTGTTCCAAAGCTTTTAAGCTTTCCAGTCCAAACATTGTGAACTCCCATGAAAACCCAGATCTGTTCCATTGGCCTTCCATCCCACATACCCACAAAAAACACAGATCTGTGTTGGAAGGCAAACCAGAAATGCCAGGCATTTCTTCCAGGCTATGATGGCTCTGAGGACGCTCAAGCTGTCTATAGCCTCTCTCCACTCATAAGAGTTCCTGAGACTTCCAGTTTCCAGAAGAGGCTTTGGAATTCCAGTTGCCTCACCCACAGATCTGGGAACAATGGGAAGCCAATGTCTATCCAAGCTCTCAAAAGAAGGTCTCTTGAACTGCCTTCTCTCAAATCTCTCACACCTGAGTCTAGCTAAAGACCTCTGCCTCAACCACTAGCAAAACTCACAAAAGAAAAGAGAGAGAAGACACAAATAATCCGAATAAGAGATGAATCAGGTAACATCACAACAGACCCAACTAAAATAAAAAAGCTAACATTAGAATAC